GCTATAAAAGTCATCACCAACAACGTGAAGCAAATCCGGTACTCTACTGGCAGCCAATGCCGTTGACAGAGCACAAGCCGAATGTAAGCCCGTACAGGCATCGACATCAGCAAGCATGCCACCGCATTTTGAACCAGTTGTAATTTCCAGGTCAGCCTCAAGGGTAAGCCTGTGTAGACCAAGTTGCAGTAATCAAGCCTGGAAATGACCATTACATAGGTCACTGTAGCTAAGCTCTGGGGGGGGAGATAAGGCTTCTGTGACCTAATCTGCTGCAACCTGAGCCTCCATGGAAACAGGCATGCTGTAAGCAACCTTCATATATTGGGGGGCGAGAACAGAGATTGGAACAAATGTTCTGCTTTCATTCTCCATGCACACCCCAGTGTGCAAGCAAAGAATACTACCCAGAAAGAAACTCTCTCTCCCCCTCCCTCCCTCCCCTATCTTTCTGTCTCCCCTCCCTCTCTCTCTCTGGTAGTAACATACTTTAACACATGGTAACATACTTTATACTAACAAACCAGCCTAGAATCTAAGTGAGGCTGTGCTACCAAAGACACTCAAAGTCCAGAGGGAAGGTTTCTATGCAAGATGTTGGCATTGGTGGAGTTATCATCGATCCTCATTCCTCAGGTTGCATACAAGGACTTGAACTGCATGTTCAGTATGGTTGTCCTTTGTTCCAGCCTACTTGAGCACTAGGGGGAATACATGGTAGCTGTGGAGATCTTCTCTATTTAACCTCCAGTGCTGCGTTACTGGGCTGCATCTTTTGCCCTAAGTGTTACATCATTGTGCTGAGACCTGATATGAACAAAAAGAAAAGGCCAATGGAAAGAAATAATTTTTTTTAATCTGCATTCTTAAATTGAAACTGTTTTCTGTCTCTAATACTTTGTCATCTGTGATCTCTCTCTCTCTCTCTAAATTACATGCATAAACATGTCTCTGTGTGCACTTGTTTGCTCTTTAATTTGTCAGGGGAAGGAGGTAAGAATTAAACCTTCACCTCTGTCTCTTCCCTTAGTCTGCAGCGCAGGCAGAATGCTGGGTGGAGGACATAGTCACCTATGTTTAACACCCCCTGAAGACACACATTTGCTTTTCTGTTTTGCTGCTAGCATTTATGATTAAAATCTGTCTCTTTTCCAAACTTTAGGCATGCTTCCTATCATGGAGGGGGGGATATAGAGATGGTAACAAATGTTCTGGAACAAATGTTCTGATTCCATTCTCCATGCACGCCCCAGTGTATGAGCAAAGAATACTACCCAGGAAGAAACTCTCTCTCTCTGTCTTGTAGTAACACATAGTAACATACTTTATCGTAACATACTTTAATGGCCCATAAGTGAGGCTGTGCTACCAAACATACACTAATGGCAAAGTGGGAACAAATGAACTGGGGTCAAGAGGGAGGATTTCCAAGAAATATGTTTTCACTTGTGGGGTTGCCATTGATGTTAATGCCTCAGGCTGCATGCAAGGTTTTGCATTGCATGTTCAGTGACTCTCTTTATATTCTGCACAAGTTCTGTCAGGAGACCTCATCATTAGTGGCATCATATCTTAGATCTACATCACCCCTGAGCTGATAACATTTACACGATATCCACATCTGGAAAAAGTTGAGGAATTTGTGTAAGGAGACACGACACACTCAACCAGGCTTCTCTTATGGATTAGTTAAGAACAACCAATGTACAATTGTGATATAATTACTCAATGTAACATGGCATAGTCAATTATATTGTTTCCTAATCACATTAATACAAACATTTACATGCAAAAAGTATAACAGATAATTTTTTAAAATAATGTACTTGTGCAAAGTTCAGTTCTAATCTTTTCCTTGACAGTTTTTTTCTCCTGTATGTTTAGTTCAGGTGTAGCAACTTTCAGGGCTTCAAAAGGCCAGCTAAAGGTCCCCTTTTCCATCCTTTTTCAAGGCAAACCTGGCAGTCAAACCAATCTTCTCTAATTTGTTCATCAAATTCCGTTACACAAACTTCAATCCATCTTTATAAAGTTATTTGCTATATTCTAGCTTTTTCCTCACCCTTTTCTGCAGTAGGATCTTCCAAAATTATAGGAGTTATTTTCATATATCAGTTATATCAATATTACCTAGCAGAAATGGGTTTTTCCATTTTGCATTTTATTGCCCCTTTTATTTTCCTTTTGCTCATTAGCTTATAGGCAACTTGTGCTTAGTCTTGTGCTTCTGCTGTAATCAATGTCTGCTTGTAAAAAGTGAAATTACATTGTTTGCTTTTTCTTAAAATGGTGTATGTCAGTTTGTACCAACACAGAAGCCTAACTTGTTCTGGACTTACCAAGGTACACAAACGAAGTACAGTCTTGCAAGGAGGTGTTAGCCTGATTGCTCTGGATTAATTATCAATATTGAGGAATTATGAATTATCTCTCCTTATATATAATTGAATAGTGGGTGCCAAAGTTCTAAAATGCACTCCTTTAGTGTATGGACGCTTGAACTGTCAGTCAGAAGACGCTGGCTGGGTTGACTGGCTGCTCTGTGCAGTCCCGCCCAGCATTTCAAGGTCTTTTGCATATGGAAGCTGATTGGACTTCACTGCATTCCACACCTCAAACTCACCCCCCCCTCCCCGCAAGGCAGTTGGAATGTCAGTTGCATATGGAACCTTCAAGGTCTTTTGCATATGGAAGCTGAGGAGACTCGTTGGTTGGGAGATACATTACCTGGTCTGAAGAGATGAAGCTTGCCAAATGGAAAAATAAGGGAATACTAGAAAAATGGGGATTATACTAGGAAAATGGAGTGTGCAGACTGACCAGCAGAAAGCACAAGGTAGGCCTTAGCTGCAGACTAAAAGCCTGGGGTAGGATGGGTAGCAGATTGCTACAAGGATGAGAGTCAGAGAGTATAGCGGTCATTGAAGGGGTGTAGAGAGAGAGAGGGACCACATGGCTGGCTGTCCCCTTTTATGAGGGGGGCTTGGGAGGCTGGGCAAGGCTGGTCACATGTCCTTGTCACATGTTCCTTGGGGGTGGCTCAAGCTGGTCACATGTCTCAGTCACATGACTTGGGGGTGGTTTGAGGTGGTCACATGTCCTAGTCACATGACTTGGCCCACCTCCTCTTGGGTGTCACATGGGGAGGGCTTGCTGGACTCCTCCCTTGACACAACCCCTCTCTGATTAGTTTATGCAGTGGAAGTGAGAGGGCCTAGCTTGGACAATGATTGATGCAATTAAACTGGTAGCCCAAAGACACCTGATTAGCATGATGATTGAGTTAGCAGCTAGCATTGATTGTCCTCTTTTGTCTTGAGGCCGCAGAACCGGTTCTCCAGGTGGGTAGATGAGCTAGTTTCTTTGTTAAGGAAAACGCTGAAGGTAAATCCTTTTATGAGTTCTCCTCAGTAACAAGAGTGTGGTAGGGGAAGATGTGCCAACTTATTAAAACATAATGGAGGAATCAGTCCTTGTAGTTTGAACATCCAGCAAATGGATGCTAACATGGTGCTGTGTGTGTGTAGGTAGGAACATCTCTGCAACAGGGCAACCTCTTGGAAGTCATGGGCACACTATCTGGTGTGTGTGTGCTGGCCTCTCACTCTGGTCACCTGGCATCATAGTCCCTTGGCACACATTAGACACAGTTCATAGTCCACAGAGAGCAGAAATCTCCTTGCTGGCGAACAGAGCGTCTGAATTATTTCCAAGACTCCTTTGACATTTGTGGTAATTTAAAGTAAGAGAAACGTTTTAAACTGGGGGGGAATCCTTTTAAAAATAATGAGGTTGTAAACCACTTTGAGTCTCTGGTGGGGAGAAAAGCAGGGTATAAAAATCTAAATAAGGCCCCTGCCACACGGCAGGGAAAACACGGGGCGAAGCGTTGCTTTTAAAAGCCGCGCCAAAAAAGAAACGCCGCGGTGGGATCCCACGGATCCCCTGGCCGCGGCGCCTTTTCTCCCCGGCATGATCAGATGCCGGGGAGAAAACACAGTCCTGACGGGGAGCCTGCCGAACTGCGCATGTCGGAGCATGCGCAGTTCAGCTAGGAGCCGGGGATGCGCCAGCGCAAGGACGCGCCGGCGATCCGACGGCCCGGCTTGCAGTGCACCTTCTCTATGAACCACTTAGGCAGGTGGTTCCCAGTTGATGCGGAGTTTCGCGGGGAAGGGCCAGATCGGGGACGGAAGCACTACACTTCCTAGATTTTGTGGTGTGATCATGGCCATTTGCTTCGCCCCCAATCTGTCCCGCTCCCGGCCCAAATCCCCTAGTGTGAACGGGACCTAAGTTAATCAAATAAAAGATTGTCAAGGTGATCCCAAGACCCTTTCCCAGCTGGGACTCATGATCCATCCAGCTTTCCTCATTCCCAGGAGAATTTAAAGGGAACATGTATTCTGATGTTGCCACTCCCCTCCACCTATAGGGTGAAAGTTTACTCAATGACAATGATTTGTTGTGTTTTGGTATGTTTCAGTTCAGAAGAAATAGTCTCATTAGGATTTTGTGCAAAACAAAGAATTATTTGCAATCCAGCTCTTCTTCTGTTGTTCTTATAAAGATTGAATCTTTCTCTTTTTTTATGATGGTCTTGTCTTACTGGAGGTAACTTCACTACTGTTCTATGGGTCATTCCCTTGAACTCTGAAGAAGACCTGCCAAGATGAGAAAAACATGTTTTCATCATACCTCTTACTTGCATCCATTTAATTATGAAACTAATTGGTTCCTCCCAGTACCCCATCCCCAGAATTGCTACAGCATCCCAGTGGTCACGAGCTAAAGCTATGACCCAAGATTCAAAAAGCTCTTAATAGCACTTTTGCTATTCAGAACTGGGCTGGGAAACAGCAAAAATGCTGCCAGGCTGATTGCTCTCCTTTTCCACAATCCAGTGAGAGCTATAGAGCCTCTTACAGTGTCTGAGTCATGCTTTGTGGACAATGTGTGAAAAAGGGAACCAGTATCAAGAATGAAGGCTTATGTGCAAAATGATAGTATCATTGGTTTTAGTATTGGTGCTGCTGCTTCAGGCAGCTTGCAGGGTTCCTATTTGTAAATGTACCACCTGTAAGACTCTTTCTGTTCTTCACAAATACTACCATCCGGGAGATTTCATCATTGCTGGCATTATTTCTCAGATTTCCATGACCTCTGAAGAGATTACATTTGCAAAATATCCTTTCCAGGAGCTGTTTGATGAACTCATGTATGTTTATCTTTTTCTTAATGAAATCAGAGATCTTTCCAGATAATAAGCTCCCATTCCATTGATCTTGGAAAGAAGTGTTGGTATCATTGGAATTGGAGAAGTGTAGCATTGCATCTTTTTTTACTGTTGTTGAGGACTGGCTGTGGCTCAGTAGTAAAGCATGTCTTTTGCATGCAGAAAATCCAAGTTTCAATCCCTGGAATTGCCAGTTAAAGGGATCAGGTAGCAAATTATCTGAAATACCTCCACCTGAGATCCTGGAGACTGATTGCTAGTCAGAGGCCCCAGTCACACATAAGCGTTTGGCCCAAGAGAGGGACGGATCGGGGCCGCAGCAAACGGGTGTGATCTCACTGCAACATCTGGGAAGCGGCGTGCACCCATCCCCGATCCATCCCTAATGCCAGTAATCTGCTGGGAAAAAACCCACCTAGTGAGGTGGACTTACCCGAAAGGCCGCGGCAAGTGCGGCCGTGGGATCGCCGGCGCATTATTCTGCCGGTGCATCCCAGGCTCCTGGCCGAACTGCGCATGCTCATGCATGCGCAATTCGGCAGCCTCCCTCTCCCTACCATGGCTTCCCCCGGCATCTGATCATGCCGGTGAGGTAATGCGTGGCAGCTCAGGGGATCGATGTGATCCCACCGCCGCATGTTACTTTTGGTGTGGCTTTGAAACAGTTGCCCTTTTGCCCCACTTCCCCCCCCCCCCGTGTGGCAGGGACCAGAGTTGACAATACTGACCTCAGCAGACCAAAGGTTTGACTCTATAGAAGGTAACGTCATGTGTTCATGCTAGAGTAACCTACATTTCCTGTGCTGCATTTATAATTGTTATTAATATAAGTAGTCACATTCATCTAGTCTGAAATTCAGGATGCATCTGAAAAGCACTGCCAAATCATTGTACTGGTAGTGTCAGTGATGATTGAAGAGGCAACACATGAACACGCATGGCTGCCTCATACGGAACCAAACCACTGGTTCCTCAAGCTCAGTGTTGTCTGCTCTGAATGGCAGCAGCTTTCAATGTTTCAGACCGAGGTCTTTCACATAACCTACTACCTGATTTCTTTAACTGGAGTTACTGGGGATTGAGCATAGAAACTCTGCATGTAAAGCAGATGTTCCACCACTGAGCCATGGCCCATGGCCCAGATCCCAAAGTTCAGCATTCCAAGTCTTCTCTCAATCATTAAAATGTGTATCCTGATTTCTAATTGTTATACATAAAATACAAAGCAATTTTACTGTTCTCCCTAGACATTGGTGTGTTTTGGCTGATGGGTTTCCCAGTAGCTGAAGGAAAGAACCCTTTTTATCTCTGCACTGTCCCAGCTCTCTTCTAAAACTGCTTGGTGAACTCTTAGATGTTTACTTACTTCTGTGGGACTTCAGCTGCCATGGTAGTTACCTTGGCAACAGGCAAACTGGATACCTACAATCTATTTTAGTGTGATTTTTATTACATAGGGTAATAGAAATGTGCTCTGATCTGGATAACCCAGACTAGCCCAATCTCGTCAGATCTTGGAAGCTAAGAAGGGTTGGCCCTGGCTAGTGTTTGGATGGGAGACCACCAAGGAATACCAGGGCCATGACATAGAGGCAGGGAACAGCAGGTCACCTCTGGACATCTCTTGCCTTGAAAATCTTTTGGGGTCACCATAAATCAGTTGTAACCTGATGGCGAAAAGCAACAAATAAAAAATGTAGCAATGTGTATATTCATGTGATGGACTGTGACACACCGCACAACTATGTTAACAGATTACTAACTCAAAACTACCAGCATGTCCTCGCTTTGGTGTTTGCTGTAAAGGAGATCAACAAAAATCCCACCCTCTTGCCCAACATTACTCTGGGCTTCCAAATCCACAACAACTATTTTCTTGCAAGCTGGACCTATCGTGCCTCAATAGAAATTCTCTCTGCATGGGGCAATTTGATCCCCAACTACCTATGTGACTCACAGAACAATCTGGCAGCAGTAATTGGAGGTCCAAATTCAGATATCTTCTCCTTCATGGCAACCATCCTGTGCCTGTACAAGATCCCACAGGTAAGCTGGGTACTTGGAAGCAGCCTTTTGTGCTTCCCTTGACTTTTGACTGTAGCTTTGTGGTTTGGAGAGAATAAAGAAGCATTGCTGGGGGAAAACAAAGTGTAGCTTGGATGTGGCTGGAAGGTCAAGCTCTGACCAAGCCAACGAAGCTATGAAAGAACAAAAACCATTCATGGGCATTCTTTTGCATATGTCCACCAACATCAGAATGGAAACCTCCTGTTTTTCTCAGGCCCTTTAATAGGAAGTTGAATCTTTCTCTTTCTAGCCAGTTTATATATTTCTCTTTCTAGCCAGTTTATATATTTAACAAATCCAAACAGTAAGGGCTGGGGATGTACCACTTCAAGTTACTGATGGGAGCTTCCCCCCCCCCCCTTAGCTTTTAACTATGGAATAAAATAATAATAATACTAATCTGATGCTTGCTTCCGAAAGTAATTTGTGTCACCCCATTTGTACAGTCCAACCAGGGGGAAGAATGGTGGGAGCATCCATAAGCGAAGCAGTAGATTTAGACTGCAGCAGGGCAAAACAAACTCCAAAATAGAAGTAATTAAAGTCAAAGAAGGGAAATATTGCTGCACTTTTGCTCTTCTCTTCCTTAGCTCATATATGGCTCATCTCCATTGATGAAAAACAACATCGAAGCTGTGTTCTTCCATCAACTGTTTCCAAATGGGACCCATCAATATATGGGGATTCTGACGTTACTGCAGCATTTCAAGTGGATATGGATTGGGGTGATGTATGCTGACACTGAAGATGGAGAAAGCTTTGTGCACAATGTGATTCCCATTTTTTCCCAAAGAGGAATCTGTTTTGACTTCATAAAAACATTTCCAAAATTAACTTTTTCCAATAATGCTGGTGAAATGGTGGCAGATGGGTTAAAAGTTTATGATATTGTCAAAGGAAGCACTACCAATGTGGTGGTTGTACATGGTGAAATTGCGTCCATGATAATTTTGAGAATTTTTCACCACGTTTCAGAATTTCAGGATGAAGCGATAGCAAACAGAAGTAAAGTTTGGATTATGACAGCCCAGATAGATTTTATATCACTTACTTTTCAACGAGATTGGAGTGTAGACTTTCTCCATGGTGCCATTTCATTTGCAGTCCACTCAAAGGATGTGTTAGGATTCAGGGACTTTCTTCAGGACAGAAATCCTCTCTCAAACAAAGATGATGGCTTTATCCAAGACTTCTGGCACCATGTATTTAATTGTTTTCTTCCCAATTCCACAACAGATACAAGGTTTGGGAAAATCTGCACTGGAAAGGAGAAACTAGGGACACTTCCTGGATCTATCTTTGAAATGAGCATGACTAGCCACAGCTACAACATCTACATTGCCATTTATGCTGTGGCACATGCGTTGCATGCCATTCATTCATCCACACCTAAACACAGAGGGATGGCTGATCCAGAGAGACCAAAGCTTCTGAATCAACATCCATGGCAGGTGATTTTTAGAGGGGGGGTACAGGCATCTAGGAAATCTCATGATATTGAACATGTCTATGAAGCATTAGAATTCACAATATGTGGAAAGCTTTTATTCGGGCAAGACTACCAAACCTTAGCTGTGTCATGGACTCCACTTTACAAGTCATGGGACCTTCTTACCTTTAATCCTTAGGCAACTGGGTTATTCTGGTCTTATCTGATGACCTCAATTTACTATTACCAGTATTGTAGCATAGGTATATGCACCTCCTTAGTTGCACATAAGATTGTTTGATTCTCTCTTTTTATTACTTTTACATGGATAAATCAATAGATTTTCCCCATGAATCATCAGTAGATGAATAATAAGTGGATATTCAAAGGAGAAGGACTGAGGGGAATAAAGAACAAATCGAACCTCTGCTCTGCCCTTCAGCACCTGAACACAGAATATTTCTCTCATATTGCTAGCCAGTTCTTAACCTTTCTGCGGTCAGACACAAAACACTCTTTGGATGAAACCAAAGGACTCTTGACCTATAATTTAGACCCAATGGATTTGGAACTGACCAGGATGTACTTGTTTTCCTTAACATGTATTTTATGTTTAAACTAGGGGTTCTGTCCCTTTTCACTCCACTTGCCTATATCATGCTGTGCTCACAATATTTTACATAAGAACATGGCCCATCCAGTCCAACACTCTGTCACACAGTGGCCAAAAATACCAGGTGCCATCAGGATGTCCAACAGTGGTAGTTTGAATAACAAATGTGTTGCCCTGCAAGGCACTTAATGTGCTCTTATGAACTATAACTCATAAGTTATAAAAATGGATTATGCAAAGATATGATTAAGGGATTGAACTGCGAGGTGACCAACATGATGTCAGTTGAGACTGCACACCTGAGAGAAGAAAACCTTCCTTTGTGTTGCTGTTCCAGTGGTTCTTCGAGGTTACCTGCCCTGTTACCTGTTGTGAGATGGACTAGTTCCTTAGCCTGCATAATGCCATGCCCAGGCAGGAGAACAAAGAGCTCCAAATGCTATTAGGAGCTCCATCTGATACAGGAATGCAGCCCTTTTCCCCCTCCTCCAGCTACCTGCAACTCTGCACGTAATCAAAAGGCTCTCCCTGCAGTTGCTTGGCAACTAATCGATCACTCATCAACAACCCGGCTAGGGCCATCAAGAGACAATAGCCCTAGCCCGATGATTCAGTTACTCTTCATCCAGGTGCCAGTCCCCAAATTAAGTTACTAGTTCTCAATATTGACCACCCCCTAGCTCTCCTCCCTCTTTCCTTCTTCCCAATAGTATGTTTTATGGGATGGACTAACAGGAGGTGTGATAAGAGGATGTGGCCAGTCCAGCCTGCCCCCCACACCACCTTATAAAAGGTGATACACGACCACATGATCTCTCTCTCTACTACAACTTTCCCTCTACCCAATAGTATGTTTTGTGGGACAGATTAACAGGAGGTGTCACAAGAGGATGTGGCAAGCTCAGCCTGCCCCCCCACCTTATAAAAGGTGATACCTGACCACATGGTCTCTCTCTGTGTACTACGACCCCTATCTAAGCTTTATCCCCCTTACGTCCAGCTTGCTATCCCAATACTCTCCCTCCATCTTTGACTCTTGGTCTGCAGCCAGAGTTCCACGTGTTTCTGCTGGTTCAGAACACATCCCTTATATCTGATTCTTCCCCCTCCCTTCTTCCATTGGAACAACTCAATCAGCAAGGACAGGTAACTATTGCCCAAACAACGAATATCCTGCTAATGCGAATGTGCTTATTATCTATCTTTATTTCCTAGTACTGTGTAAGTGTGTGTGCTTGCGTATTGTTTGAATGATAAATATCTTATAGTAAAAGACACCATATTTTACTGAATACAGTCTCCGTGTCTGTTACTGGCCACTACTGGAAAGGTGGAACCTCTGTATACAATGGTATTCACTCCCTAATTTGCCTATTGCCAATTAATAATAATAACTTCCCCAATATTAATAAGAAATTAAGGCAATTTGGCTAACAAATGAACATCTCTGCAGTATATGAGATGTATAACAGCTTTCAATAGAAAAACATGGGATGGAAGTTTGTGCATGTTTGGCATTGAAATATCTATGATCATCCAGAAGCCAGTGGCCAGTTTAGAGATTCTCAGTTTTATTATGGACATGTTATGCCTGCCAGAGTCAACCTTAGCTTCTAGTGCAAAATGGGGAGTGATCTGGAGATATCCTGGGCCAGGATGTTTCTGATCACCACTGGTTTGGGCACTGCAACTCCCATCATCATCCTGAAGCTAGAGGCCAGTTTTGAAGCTCCTGGATTTACTTTGGGGTGAGTTTTTCTGCCACAGACAACCAGAGCTCTCATAGTAAAGAGTGTGAGTGGGAATTTCTGGGCATTGCGCAAGTCTGGATTTTTTGATTACTTTAATATTTGGAAGTGCTACATCCATGATCATCCAAAAGCCAGTGGCCAATTTGGAGATGCTTAGTTTTATTCTCTGAGGACTTATGCCTTCCGCAGATGGAAGGATGGAGACCTTTTAATGTAGATGAGTTATGCCTAAGGTTAAGAACATTTAAGAACATGAGCAGAACTCGGCTAGATCAGACCAGTGGTCCATCTAGTTGAGCATCCTATCTCATACAGCAGCCAGCCAGTTACTATGGAAGGCCAACTCTTTGTCAGATTAGCTTCCTTTGCAAAGAACATTAAGGGCCAACTAATACAACCATAACTTCCTTTGCAAATGGCATTTGGGAGCTTCTGTAGATATTGTGGGCCAGGATGTCCTAGTTCCTTTCACTTCTGGCAGTGCAACTCCAGTCATTAACCTGAACTTGTTGGTCAGTTTTGAAATACCCAGCTTTATTTTCTGATGAGTTGTGCCTGTTGGAGACAACAATAGTTCCCCATGCATAAAGCAGGGGTTGGTGGGTATTTCTGGAAATTATGCAATCAGGATGCTCTGGTTCCTTTCATGTTTGACATTATGACTCCCATGAACATTTTGAAGCCAGTGGCCAGTTTTGAGACTTCTAGCTTTCTTTTTTTGAAGAGTTACATGGCACAGATGGATAAATGAATAGATGGATGATTTTATTACAGATTTTGTCAACAGGTTTGATATTCTTATTTTCATTGTTGGTTCTGTAGGCTTGCTTGTGTAATGTTTCCATACTTAATTGCTTTTTTGTAAAATGTTCTAATGAGTAGGTCATGTACCAGTGAAGAATCTATTGTTATGAAATTCTGCTGAAGGTCCTGGGGGTGGGAGATCTTTTGTTCAGTTGCTGGAAGCATACTCTGAAGAGCCAGGGAAGCCATGTTTGGATCAGGCCATTGGCCCATCTTGTTCAACACTCTGGGCGATTTCTCACTAGAGCTGCCTCGCAGCGCAGCGCCATTTGTCCCAACACAAACATGTCAATTTCACACCCAAGGCTGCGGGGCTGCATTTGACCGATTTCCTCCGCAGAGGCCCAGGTGATCCTAAAAAAACAGGATCATGAAACTGCGGAGGAAATCGGGCGAAACTGCGAGTCAAAATGCAGCCCTGGAGCTTCGGGAGTGAAATTGACATGTTTGTGTCGGGGCAAACGGCGGCTGTGCTGCGAGGCAGCTCTCGTGAGAAATCGCCCTCTGTGTCACACAGTGGCCAAAACCCAGGTTTCAATATCCTCTCCTCTTCAAGAAGAGGAAAAAAGGTGGTACAAATTGTCGCAATACTAGCAAAATATTTATTTATATGTTTGTTTGTTTGTTTATTCAGTTTATACCTCACCCTATCCCACATGTGGGCTCAGGGCAGCTTACAACATGTAGTAAAACAATAAAACAGTAAAAGCAATAAAACAATCAATTACATGATAAAAAATATAATCAAACCTCATGCCTCATATCAGGTGAATATAGTTGCTCCAGTGCCAAATAATATTATCTGTCAGCAAGCACTGGGAGAGGGGCCATTTTCAGGGGACACCAGAATGGTTGAACGTCCTCTGCCTCAATCAAAAGCCTGGTGGAATAGCTCCATTTTACAGGCCCTGAGGACCTGTGATAGGTCCCCAGGGCCCTGATCTCAAGTGGGAGCATGTTCCACTTAGTTGGGGCAAGGGCCGAGAAAGCCCTTGCCCTGGTTGAGGCTTCCATCTTAGATCCCTTCCAGTCCAGCTTCCACCCGGGACACAGGAGGGAGACAGCGCTGGTTGCCCTTACTGATGACCTCCAGAGGCATCTGGATCAGAATGGTTCCACAGCACTGTTGTTGTTAGACGTGTCGGCTGCTTTTGACACAGTCGACCATCAGTTGCTCATCCACCACCTCGCCGATGTGGGGATACAGGGGCTTGCCTTACAGTGGCTTGCTTCTTTCCTTCAGGATCTGGGACAAAGGGTGGCACTAGGGGAACAACAGTCCAGGAGACACCCACTTGAGTGTGGTGTGCCTCAGGGGGCAGTGCTTTCCCCGATGTTGTTTACCATCTATATGCACCCCCTTGCCCAGATTGCCCAGAGGTATGGGCTGGGATGTCACCAATATGCTGATGATACCCAGCTCTATCTGGTGTTGGGCAACCGCTCAGACTCTGACCCAGAAGACCTGAACTGGGCATTGCAAGCCGTGGCTGGTTGGCTTAGACTGAGCCGGCTGAAACTAAACCCATCAAAGACGGAGGTCCTGTGCCTGAGTCGGGGAGGCCTGGGGATCAGGATCCCTCTCCCAACCTTTGACGGGGCACCACTGGTGCCAATGCCAAAGGTGAGGACTTTGGGAGTGTTCCTGGACCCCTCCTTAACCATGGAGGCCCAGGTGGCAGCCACTGCTACCTTTTGCCATCTTCGGCTGATCCAACAGTTGGTTCCATTCCTCAGCTGCGAGGACCTGGCTACTCTGATCCATGCAACGGTCACCTTGAGATTAGACCACAGTAGTGCTCTCTACATGGGGCTGCCCTTGTCACAAATCTGGAAGCTGCATCTAGTGCAGAA